AGTTTGAGGTGCTACGAAGCAACTTCTCCACAACCCAAATCAACGCAACTCCACACAACACAAATTCAAGCAAACTCAACACACCAATTCAACACAAGCGATGTCAACTCAACACAACTCAACGCAATTCAACTCGCTCCAGTTCAGCATATCTTTGGAAGCTGATTGACCAACTCAACAATTAAATCGCCTAGGCACACTGGTGATATTTGGCTATTAATTGACATCACTCTCCACATTTCAGAAAAAATTCACGACAAATACCACGTAGGAATTATATTGCCAGTTCCAAATCATAAATATGAGTTTTTCCACGTTGACTTCAAACGGACCTGTTGTTGAAATCCAAGAAGAATGATTGATAAAAGTTCGAAATTTTCAGCACAACAAACTCTCCGTATATTGCTCATCCACAGCTAAGGTCAGCGATCAGTTTAAAAATCTCGAAAACGGGCATCATGGGAACCTCAATTTGCACCGACCAATATTTCCTGGTCGACTAACGTCTGCCTCATGTCCCTATAAATGAATGTACTCGCTGACAAAATATAACAGGCCGTGTATTGGGGCAGTAAAAACAGTTAGACGCGTTTTACTTTTAGGTAAAGGCGAATTTAGGATTTAGTATGAGGGGGTAATGAGTAGGAGGGGGAGGGAAGTTACTAATATCAAATGATACTGTAAGAGTAAAGCTAACAAACTGAAGAAAGTAGTGAGGGCAGGTTATGATAGTTCGAACTGTTTGTTCATTATTAACATGATATAATGTTGCGTAATATTTTTAGATGCATCTGCAGAATTAATACTATAGTGAAGATTATTTAAGGAGGGTACAAGTTTTTTGCTGGTTTACTTTGATAGATAATTTGCATCTGTTATCATGTGTATGCATTCTTAATTGTCTTTTCAGGTTAAGCTATTCATAAATCATTTCATGTCTATTCATGCGTTCGGTTGGTCGGGGAAATGAGCTAAGAAGTAAGTTATCTTGATGACACTATTCTTCTATTCCAGTTATTGCGAAATGTTTACAAATGGTACAACTTGATTTTTTTTTAATATCTTACTCAGCTAGTGTAGTAAATAATTTAAGTTATTCTAAAAATGCTATTAGCAATGTCAATGAAATAAAGATTTCTAAAATGAGGCTTATGAAAATTTGGTTCAGGTGGAAACATTGTATCAGACGGCAATATGAGGACCGAAACCGATACACATACGAATTCCGTTACAAATCCATCATCCATGGGCAATTCTGCTATCCAAATTCAAGTAAATCAGGGGTTAATAAGTACAGATTCTGCTGATTCGCCTGTTGCAGACCAAATAGGCAGTGAAAGTGAGTTATGTACGTGATTTTCTTTCTTTTCAAGCCGATTTCTTTTTGTTTCCTCATATTTTTGTTCATTAGGACGTTTAGTGGTTCAAGCCCATCTGTGTATTTTTGAAAGCAAAATTAGCTGTTCAATATATCTGTATAGATCTCTCTCATGATGAAGGCCGGTGTGCTTAGCTCTGTGTTTTATTCTTACGGTATTTGTTAGACCTTTTAAGCATCACTTACAAAAAATTTCACTTCTTCATATAGAATATTTTTGCATCTTTGCGGCTTCATCATGCTTTTTTGCTTTTCTTAATTTTTAATGAATTAATGAGCTTCATAAATTCATTGTTCGAATTCAGTACCTTCTAAAAACATATTTTTTGCTGTCGTACGACATTATTTTTGTTGGAGGTTGCAATGATTTTTCGGCTCTTGAAAGTTTTCTCGGTAGATTTCGAATAATTCTCTATTCGATTTAACACTTCTTTTGCATAGTGCACTCCTCAATTCGTTCCTGTTTATCGCTTCTTCACAGCTGAGTGCACTTAAGGAATCTTGAGTAGTTCTCGTCAGCTTAGCTTAGCTTTCATAATGTCGAGCTTTATACATTATGATGATATTGGTGCTTTCTTTGCTGAAATGGTGAAGAGTTCTGATCAATTTGTCTCCGTTACAATTTTTCCTTTGGAAAAAAAACTGCTGCAGTTTTAGTTGCAATTTTTTTAAATGGTGAACTTGAGTCGAATTTTCTGAAGTTCATTTCTTTGGCAGACTTTTCTCTTATATGAAGTCCACACCATCATACTTTTTTTGGATTCAATGTTTCACATGATTATCAATTGCTTTTTTTGGCCTAGTTTCATCCATACTAATGCATCAAACTTGATGTAGCCAAGTTCAGAAATGTACTTTCTACTCTACTCCTTTGTTTTTATATTTCTACATGTAGACAATTTTATCATAAATACTATTCTGGAATTCACATCATTTTTGATGAGAAGCTTCCTGCACAGATATAAAGATGCATTTTGTCTTTAGCTATGGTTGAATGTCACATTAACCAATTTTCAAATCGCTCTCAGATCCATTTTTGGTTGTTTTCGGTAAAATTAATTAGATTAAGGCTTTCATTAACTTTTTATCACTCTGTACAAAAACGGAAGTTATTTGTATAGACTGATAAAAAGTGAATGAAATTACTTGGTTCATGGCAGTTACTGTACTCCTGATGCTACGTCGTTGCAAGTTGTTGCAAACGCCGTTATCATTTTAAAGAGCAGTTGCATTTTGTGCGTTTCTAATATTTATCATTTTCCGTGATAGTGAATATCCTTAACATTTAATGTTTAGCACAATTTTAAATTTAGGAAAATACTACACTAATTCACTTTAGATGGATCTGCTAGAGATGTTGTTCGTTGCCTATTGCCGCATGTTGATCTACCGGAAAACCTTTCTGAGGAAGATTTATATCGAATTATTCGAAAGATTTTATACAGTGAACGTCCTAGACGCGCAAAATTGCCTGAATACAATTCATTTGATGATGCGGTTGAACTTTTTAAAAGGTTGTTCCTCACACAATATCTTTTATGAAATTGAACAGACTACTCTTTTTATAATATTTAATTATTATAAAAAGAAAAAAGAACTATTTTTACTGTTTTCAGATGCAGTCGTATTTTGGTTTTGACAGGTGCTGGCGTTTCTGTATCCTGCGGTATACCTGACTTCCGGAGTAAAAACGGCATATATGCACGACTTCACATCGAATATCCAGATCTTCCAGATCCAACTGCTATGTTTGATATCAATTATTTCAGTAGAAATCCGAAACCGTTTTTCGAATTTGCTAGGGTATTATATTTTTCTTTTTTCGATCTTTGCTGTTTTCGTACCTTTCGGGGCAACCCATAAATTTTTTATGATGCTTCAGTTTTTGTCCTCGAATTCGGTCTCAGCGTTGGTCTTATGTCTTCTCAAGAGATTTGAACATTGATTGAATGAATCGTATTCAAGGAATTATTTCCTGGTCGCTATGAAGCTTCGATGTGCCATTACTTCATCAAGGCACTCGAAGATAATGGGAAATTGCTGAGAAATTACACTCAAAATATTGATACTTTGGAGCAGATAGCTGGAATCAAGCGAATTGTGCAATGCCATGGTATATTTTTATTTTGTAATAAGCTTATAACGGCCATAAATGCCTGTGGGATCGTTGCACGTTGTAAATGATGGATGGACTTTGTCGTAGAAACTTTTCGGAGTTTCTCTTGTTATAAATCTTAATCTGATGGCAGTTCCAAATTCTGTCAGCGATAACTGTTTTACAATCGTTTATTTTAGTAACATATCATGAAAGTTTTTATTGCTGAAACTCTCATAGATTTTTGTTTTCTTGTTGTTTATTAATTTCTTGTTTCAGGATCATTTGCAACGGCGACATGTCGAAATTGTGGTTTGAAAGTCGATAGCGAAGCCATTCGAGAGGACATTGACTCTGGGGTATCCTTTTGCGGAGTTTTTCTTCCTTCTAATTTCTTTTAAATCGTTGATTGCACTTTTTTTGCTATTAATATATTTTAATTTGAAGTCTAAGTTCGTATGTTATAAAAAACATAGCTATAAAAAACGACCTTTATAAAGGGAAATATTTTTCCTCTTGTAATGTTGATGAAGTATTTAAGCATCTCCACAGTTTTACAGCGTGTTGCGATGTGTCGAATATGCAGTCATCCAGAAGGAGTTATGAAACCTGACATAGTTTTTTTCGGTGAAGATCTCTCTGATGATTTCCATGAAAAAATGGCCGAGGATAGAGAAAGGGTGTGCAGTTTTAGTTCGTTAAATCTTATAACTAGAAAGATCTCACAGTAATTAATGTAAAGGAAAATTTTGCAAATTCTTTGCGAGTCAATTATAATGCTCATGAAATGCAGGAAATGCTTAGCTGTGATTAAACTTTAGTTAAATGTTATGAAGTTTGACTTTACAGGTTGACTTGGTCGTAGTTATTGGTTCATCTCTGAAAGTACAACCAGTTGCACTTTTGCCATACAATGTTAGTCCCGAAGTACCACAGATACTCATCAATCGTGAATCTTTACCTCATTATGCTAGCGATATCGAGTTGTTGGGTAATTGCGATGATATTGTGGCCCAGTTAGCTTTGGTTTTGGGTCCTCCTTACACCGATATTTTCATAAAAGGTAAAATTTAAACCTATTATATAGTGTTTTAGATAAATCATTCATGTACCAAGGTTCAAAAAACTACTTTTTTTGAGGTCGTTCTAAAACAAATAGCGATCCTACCTCAGTCGAAGAAATTTACGAGAAAACAACTCTTCGGAAGGCTATCAACGAAATGCAATTCAAAGTTTGCACTGAATTTGCTTCTTCCTTCAATAGATACCATACAGGAGATAAGATATAGGATTTTGGGATTAGGCATAACTCTGTCGTTTTCTAAGTTTAAGAAAATCTTAAACCATAAGCACCATATTATTGTTTTTGTTCACTATATTTCAGTTTCCTACAGTCTTTTCAGAAGTTATTAGAGCAGCCTGCAATTAAACGAGCAAGACTGAAGGAAGGAATGCCTTCAATGTGGGATGCACGATATGTTAATGTGGGATCGAAACTTCCTATTGATGGTTATCTTTTTGTGAGTTCTACTTCGTTTCATTATTTTATTATGCTTGGTTTGTGCAAAAAAAATTTTTAAACAGTCGTGTATATATTCTGCCTTTGAGCAATTTATTAGTCTTGTAGGTAATTTGACTTGTAAATAAATAAGAAAACTAAGAAGTTAAGATTTTGGACTTATTGAAGTTATCTAGCTTTAAAATTAATCCAAAATGAACGTCTTACAATGTAAAAGATCTGAAAAACCATACAAATTTTTGGTGTAGAAGTACGGATTGAAGTATTAAGGATTAATTTTAATGAGAAAAAGAAAAGTGTTCCAATATTTTGATACCGGATTCTCCTTTTTTGTCTCATGAAAATAATCTGAACTGATGCCAAGATAGACATAATATTAATAGTAACGGGTTATTATTTTTGAAAGTTTGTTTGCAAAAATGTTTGTTCTCGCTATTTTTCTATCACATATTGACTTTTTAGATAGTACCGAACAAAAATATATTCCCTGGTGCGGAAATGTATTACGATAAAGACGACGATATATTTCGTCAGCTTTCGGAGCACTACCATAGTTCACCTGCATCAAGTAGTTCAGAGTCCGAAGAAAGTGAAACAAATCAAGAGGAAGTTTACTGTAATTTTGGCGTTAGAACAATGTCGTTGGAAGAAGCTCTTCCTGTAAGATCTAGTAGTGAGAATGATGAGAGATCTAGCTCTTGTCCTCCAAGAATGAATCTGGAAGATAAATATAACGCTGAAAGTTCATGTGCAGGAAACAGATTAAGCGTACGATTGGAGCCTTACTTGCAAACAATCACTGTTCAGACGGGAGAGGATGCTACACATGATTTGATCAGGACCAGTAGTTCTAATCACTTATTTTTATAAGTTTGTAGTTGTGTTGTACTGTATATTGTTTTTTGATTTGAATTGTTTATAGGTCTTCGTTCACTTTCTATGCGTTTTTTCTTTTTTTTTTTAAATAAGGCTTCACTAGTCTTCCGAGCAGTTTATGGTGCTGAGTATTTGTTTGGCAATTACATATTTTTCGAATATTATCGGAATTGGTTTCAAAAAAATTGATGTGTTTTTTTTTAAAAAAAAGAAATACAGAGTACAAATGCTTTCTTTGTGGAGATTATTCATGTTAATCAAATCTATACTATCATTGATTTATTTTGCTGGAGCATTTCCGCAGGCTTATATTTGTCTATTTTATCTAACGTCTTCATTTAAAGGCAGTTTAGATTTGCAAACTATATTCATTGCTTAAGTTTCAATCATCGAAACCTGTCATAATGTGGATTGCTCTATTTGTGAGTCAACCATATATCATTACAGAGCAGAATGAAGGCTTAAACATTTTTATAGCAATACGATAAACAGCACTTAAAAATCATTTTACTTATTTTCTGCAGGGTTTTCTGTTTCTACATAATGTGGATTGCTCCGATTAATGCATTGCGTATTATCATTTGCTTGCTAAGTCGAGCATTCTGATCAGGTGCACATTGTTTATGAAGCTTAATTTTTTTCTCACACTTCATGGTTGCTTAGTATTCGTAATTATTCGTCACCACAATGATTATCACTACTAGATATGTACAACGTTTTATTTTAAAACACGTAATCGAGGAAATCTTGATGATCTGTGAATTTAGAGAAAATCGTCATTTTTCCAAAATAGTATGATGCTAATTGGGGAAAGGTATTGCCATTCCATTAGCGTAGACATTGTGAAGAGATTTCTTCGATAATAGCTGTCGAATGCATAATAATTGATCATTCTTTTTGGTCATTTCGTAACTTTCAGTTTATGTGGATTTTTTAATAATTGTACTGGCGAGGATGGTTATCCGAATGTGTTATTTTTCTTGGCAACATACGTTTATGAGTGCAGAATTCCTGTTTTTCCAAAGAATTGCAGTGTAGTTATTCTTTGGGGCACTGTAGAGAACACAATAAGCAGGACTATAAATTCCTCTTACTCTCAACCTCAAATTTGTCGTTAAATTTGGGAGTGTTTGAGCATTACATTGTGAAAGCGGAAGTAGAAGTTGGGAAATGACCAGATGCATTTAATTGCAGCATTTCAAAATTATGTGAGGATATTTAATCTGGAGCAAATGAAAAGGGAAATAGTTCTTATGGAAGTGCGGGAATGTCATGTTTCTGACCGGTGCTCATCTACTGTATTATAAGCTAATATATAGATGGTGACATTCTCAGTTATTTTTAGTAATGAAATGTTGAAGTTGATGCTTTTCTCGAGACATATTTATGTAACAAATAGAATGTTTTATTTTTGTAAACATGTTTGAGGATGTTGGGAGATGATTCATGTTTTGGTTCATGTTCATCTTTATTGTCCATAGCTGCATTTTTTATTTGCTTTGTAGCTATCCGGTATCAAAAAGTATAGCCGACTGTAATTAATGATATTTGTACAGTACAAATTTTTTGTGCGTTATATGTAAAGTGCATTTTGTGGAGTCTCCGTATATGCTTGCTTGTCCTCAGGTTTTTCTGGATAACTTGCCATTTTCTGGGTAAGTTTCTTGACAATTTACCAGTTTTCTTTCACTCGTCTGTGGTTTTTCGGACTCAGTTCATTATCAAAAACTGCTCTTTGTAAATTGGTGTTAACGTTTACTGTATTTTTAAACTTTAAATGATTAAAAATGTGAAGTGGCTGAGGTATTACGGAGAGGATAAGTGTGAAGTATAAACTCCCACTGATTTCATTTTATGCGTTTAAGTAATATCTCAACTGATTTGGCGACGATGACCTCTTTGATTTTTATTATGTTTGAGAACATTGTGCTTTTGTGTGTGTTCTTTACGTATTTTCTCATAAAGAGTAAAAGAAATAATACATTGTCCAAGCTCTGCGTCTTTACATTAATTCTTCATCAATTTGTGCTTGAGGAGGCTTTCTTATTATTTGAGATATTACTTGCGAGAAGTGCCTTTTACATCCAAATAAGTCACCGCCTCTCGAGGAAGTCATAGCCTACCAGGCGAGATTACCGTTATTTGTCTTGACGGTTTTCGCGTAAAAGGGTTATAAATAAATGTTTATTAATTGAAATTAAGTCGTAAACGTGGGGACATGAGCACACAGACTTCAGGATAAGATTCAGTTCTTTTTTTTCTACAAAATTTTGTTAAGTTCACTTGTGAGAGAATTTTCTAGTTTCTAACAGTTCGGTCATTACATTTGGTTCCACAGATACTATCACTAACTATTATAGTTCTTGTAGATTGAGAGTATGAGGTGTTTCTATAAAATGCACTGGAATTTTATTCACATATTCCATCGAATGTAAACTCCGGATTCCAGACTGAAATGTTCTCATCCATGTTCCAACAGTCTCATGTAATCTGTTTAAATAATTACCACATAATTTTTAAAAGAAAGCTCCTTTGATTTTAACTCTCAGGATTAGCGATGGTTTTCATTGTGGGACAGTCACAAAGGGACAAGCTCCTTGATTGCAGAATTCAGTTCGGTCTCGCATAAGTAGTATGTTGGAGGAATGATTTGGAGATTACAGTACGAGAACATTATATATAAAATATTTTGTTTACAGAGGATCTCAATATCAACACATATTAGAAGCTACGTGAACAGTATCCTGAAAAGGAACCCACAACCCACTGCAAGATCCACACTATAAAATTGTAACAGTTTAATCCTAAGTTTTTTAAAAACTGCCACTAAAGAAATAACGCTGCTCTTTGCAGATATAGAACAGAAGATGACTGGGATTATTTGAACAATAAGTCTATCATATTTCGAAGCCATTTCAAGATCTCTTTCACAGATCAAATACAAATCTTCAATTCGAGCATCGCAATATGCCTGATGATCAGATATTTTCATCTTCACACTTCACAGTTTGAAAGACCTTCAAACTATCTCATCAAGGTGCTACCTTACGTACCTAAGCAAATCAGATGCCGTCTCCACACCCATAATGTCTTCCAACTTAACCAGGTTGACTTGTAACCTCAAAGACTTTTCAGTTGAGCCACCCCATTTACTAAATTGAAATCAAATCAAATTTTAGTTTAAGTACATGCACTCATATAATATTGAAAAACATGCACAGAAGACATTCATAACCTCGCTAAAAATATGTTTGTGCATCATCATCAATATAAATTTTCTCAGAAATTGATCATCATCCTTTAAAATCATAACTTACAGTGGGATGTGATTACTGAAAGAGCAGAGATTTAAAAATATGGAAATTAGAACTAAGAAAGCAATGTGCCAACAATCTAATCTTCGTAGCACAGAGATAGTGAGAAAAAGTGTGAAAACGAAAAAAAAAAGATATAGTTAAAAAGATATACTTTTTGGAATTCGATATGTTAAATAACTGTGAATTTGGATAAAATAAAACTATTTTAGCTAGAACATGAGCTCTCTCGGGATTTGTCCAATGTTGTTTGTATACAAATTGACAGCTGCAATTCATTTCTTCCGTGAAACACTCCCTCACTGTTTCTTGAAATAACAAAGCTTACATACACCTGTGTGGTGACTTACAATTAAAAAATTATATCAGCTTTCCTATGGAAACTTATGATAATAACCACCTATTTAATCCACTCAATACTTAAGCGGAAGAATGGAAGAGTGTGAGACACAATAATAATCGATTTACAAATTTTTTTTGTTTTACAAATATATTAAATGAATAACTATATAAACTTTTCATTAGTGCCCTAAACAAAAATTCCGATTAAGTTTAATACCATCAAATTACACTTGTAACTTCCTTCCCTGCAACATCCCTGCAGTGTGCGACTGGTATTTTGCAGTAAATAGACTTCCGCAAGAAAGCATTCTCGCTGACAACATGTGGTGGGATGGTCTGGCAAGTGCTCAACTGCTAATTTTTATTTTTAATTTCTGGGTAAGAACAGAGAGACGTGAGAAATGAGATTCTCGATTAACTCTGTTGTGAGTGAATCACTTAGCGAATGAGAGAAAAAGTATACTGATGTTGCTGTCAGGGTTAAAAGTTTGCCTATAATTTCACAGATGGAAGTTCTTTCTGGTTCATAATCTCTGATGAATTAAGAAATCATTATTGACCTTTGGTGACACGATGCTAAAGGGTGGAAACTTTTGACTAGTTTTATAAAATGTTAGTGATAGTAACTGCATTTTCAGCTGGTAATAGGATAGAAATAACAAAGAATTGGTGGAATTATGAATATGATGACACTGATGTAAATGTTAGAGTTCTTATGGGGCGTCATTGCTGGCGCGATTTTAATGCTTTTCGTCATTTATGTGTTGCTATTCAATCCGTTTGGCGAAATCTCTCCACACGCAGTATTTGTTGACCAATTTCAGCCACTCCACCTTCCTGAGGTAGTTTTATTCCTTTTGAGTCCTTCATGATTTCTTTTCTTTAATGAAGAAGGTGATTTTCAGGAATTAAGACAGTTTTTGAAGAAGGAAGATGATGAACGCCAAGTTTTTGAGTGGGAATCATGCTTCAATCTGAGCCTTGTTCTTCATTTTTTGTTTCAAGAACACAAAGATACCCGTCGATTACGAAGGTACTTCAATACATTTTTTGTGGGTATAGTTGATCATATTTGGCTCTTAAAATGACGTGGATCCATATCATGTTTTTTTATCTTATAGATGGATTCACAGAAAGCTGCAGCTGGAACTTAGTGATCTAACTACTCGAAATACTGCTGGTCGTCTCATACAGGTCCATTTCAGCTCTGCAACATTTTTAGAAGGATACAATTACATCATATTTCCTTGTTATTGCTTATTGCTGATATTTTTTTCTCCTTTGTAGTTTTAAAAGCTGTTTGTCCGCTTTCATTACATATTTAATTACTTAATAGTCAAAGAAATCACTTTCTTAAGGTAAATAAAAATTTTCGAAATTTCTAAGTAACTGAAAGATTTACTAAAAGTGTAGTATGAAAAATTAAGCATAGGTTTACAATGAAGAAATACTAAAATAGTTGTTTTCAAATGTGGGCTAGATGAACTTTCATGCAATTGAAGCTAATTCTTTGTATGACATTTTTTTTCTTAAAATGTTTCCATTCTAGGATATTCGTATTAGGGACTTATCGATTGGCTCCAGATCTCCGGTCATCAAATCAGTACGTGTGGAGGACTATGAGTTATCTGAAGATGAGAATTTCAAAGTAATATTTTGTTATTATATTTGTGTAACATATACTGAAAAAAGCAGCTTAAATACAAAATAAATCAATGCATACGTTTATTTGAATACCGAGTTGATATCATGCATTTGTGCACTGAACATTTAAAGTATTAAGGTTAGACTGTTCTTAATATTGAAATGAATTAATTACACTTTTTAAACTAAAATATACCGGAAAGATTTTTTTAGACATTAAAGCTGCTTGTTGATGTAGATTACAGCGGAGGTTTTCAATGTTCTGTTGATGTTGGTATGTTGTTTGGGCGATTTGCGCAGCTATCGATCAAGGTTTTCATTTCATTTAATCGGTTTAGTTTCAGAAAATGTTTTAAAATAATTTGCGTATTGACGGTAGATTTCATTCTTACATAATTCAGATTGAGCATTGTGCATCAGTCTATTTGTTCATTGCATTTAGCTTACTCGTCTTTCTGGCAAAATTCGGTTGAAACTGAGTCGTGAGCCTTTTACTCATTGGGTCTTTGCATTCGTTGATATGCCGACACTGGAATTCCAAGTAAGTTTAGATTGCAACTTTTATGATAACAGTATTCATATATTTTGCAATATAATATTTTATCGTTTTTTTACGTATATGATGGTGACACAAAATTGTATAGAAGAAGTGACAATCGTTACATCATCAAAACAGAGTGCCGGTTTTTAGATTGATTCACAGTGGCAAGGCAAACAAGTGAAACATCTCATACCTTTCATCACACAGAAATTTAGACGTATGGTTCAACGCAAGCATGTTTGGCCAAACTACAAGATTCGATATCGTCCTTTCTTTCCTAATCCTTTATATCAACCTTCTCCATCTATAGGTAACTTATATAATCTTCAAATTTAAATATAATAATAATAATTTTATTTATTTAGGATCTAAAAAAGTGAGATGACGACATCTTATTGCTGTTGTAAATCAAGTGGTACAATTAGGCAGAATCTAAAAATTTGGGACGTATTTCCCAAAAACTACAGGTGGAAGACTTCTAAGCTAACAGTTTGGACTGAGTTTGGACTGACATTCTCATTAGATAACATATTAAAGGAACATTTTAGCGGATTGGTTACGATTCTCAGGAGTTGAACAAACTGATGTATGGTCATCAAAAAGTGTTTGTAAAAATTAACATTGTTTTCTCAGTAGCAATATTTATTGCAGTAAATAATGATAAGTCTGAATAATATTTTTATAGAAAATAATCTATTTCAGGTGCTTTTGAATATATTAAAACAACGGGTCTATTAGAAGTTACGGTTTTACGATGTACAAGACTGAATACTGCATTGGTCGGCGACGAAAATTCCGAGGTTTTCTGTGTTGTGTCTGTAGGTAAATGACTTCATTCTTAATTTTATTTACTTATCTTTGATTATTAGATAAAATACGACATAATTAGAAATGTGAGACTGTTTTTCAACAGTCCCACACTTCTAATTATGAAGGATTTGGATTGTTTGATGATCAAAGAAAGTATGCTAGTTCTTTGGAAAAAAGACTTGAATCCGATATGATATATGCTTAACAGATCATCGACCAATAATGCAGAATGCAGGCAGAAGTTCAACACGATGCATCACCGTATTATTAAATTTTAGTCGGCACGGTATCAGTGAGTCGATTGGATTAACATTTTCTAAAGTAAATTCGTTGTGAAAGCTTTCATTTTATTATTTCTCTCAGTTTTGAGTAGAAAATAAATCATAACTTTTTAAACTCTTCCAAATATTGTTATTAAGGTGCTGATTATGTAGTTCTCAGCAGCTCTACCCAAAGTGCATTTTTTTCCAGCACGCTCTTTTATTCTAAAAATAATTATCTTCATCTTCTTTATTCTTATTGCGCTCATTATTTCAACGAAGAATCCTATGGTGTTCAACTTCTTGTCTATACCATTTTTCACTTTTTTTCCAATACAGATGTATCATTTCATTTTTCTTTATTTGGGCGCGTAAGATGCTAGTTATGATGCCTTTCATGTCGATCCTTACATCATTTGCATATCTCTCTGATGTTCACATAGTATACTCTGTATGCTGTTCATGCTCGAAAATTCGTCTTTGCTTCCAGAGTTGCGTTCGAGATTTTGTCACATAAAGTACTAGTAATAGCACATATAGAGGGGAAATGTTCTCATTTATTTGTTTGATTGTTATATAATACTTTCTAGAACAATCTTGAATATATATACACATTCTATAGGTTCCACTCCTTAGTATTTTCGTACCCTGCAGCTGCACCATACTGTATCTCCTTTCTCAGTTTCTTTCTAAATTCGTTATTAGAATTCAACCTTTTTTAGAACCCGGCCTGACATCATCTTTATTGAGAGAGCTGCTGTGACTTTGTTTTCTGAAAGCTTGTTGGTATGCTTTGAATAATTTTGTATTCGACCCAGTGTTTTTTTGCATAGTTTACTCCTTTTCTTGTTCCTGTTTGTCATCACTAATGTGGAATAAGTTTTTAGCTCATTTCCAACACAGGAGTCAGATCCGTACAAGTTTCAACTGTGGAAAATTTTTCTTCTGCTGAAAGATGTGGTTTTAAAGCAGGTACAGGCATTAATTCCTTTACACAAAATGTGTTTTATTTCAATTCCTATGATGCATAATGTATTATTTTAAGGTGATGTGGTTGTTGCTGTAAATAACGTTCCAGTTACGAGTGAGCGTCAACTAAACAAGTTACTTTCCGGCACTTCGAGTGAGCTAAGTGTTTTAGTTGATCGGATGATTTATGAAGAAGAGAACACGTCACTTAGTACACTAAATAATGGTGGTCAATTTTTTTCTTTTATGATAGTTCAACAATTAAGAAAAATAATATATTATGAGATGTTCTCACTTTATATTCAAGTTCTCTCTAATTTATTGTGTTCCCTAATGCTGAAAAAATCTTCGAATACTTTTACCGGAATAAAAAAGGTAGTTGGATATCCACCAAAAGTCTCTGCAATCACTAAATCATTTTTGTTTATGAATGTGCTCATTTACTTTGGTATTCAACAGTTTTTGTGAATAACTGTAAGGAAGTTGTTCTTTGAAAATTGAAAGCAAATGAAAATCGACAAGTGGAGTTTATTCTCCATATCTTTGTTCATGAAGAGTTTAACTGCTAAGTTTTAGGAGATGATTCAGCTTCTCTTAGTGATTTCGACGAGATTAGTGTCTCTGAAATCTTCGAAAATATGGCGAGTAAAAGTAGGCAAGTGGAAGTGCTGGAGAAAGGTACTATTATTTGAACATTTCCAGCGATAAACTTTTCTGCTGTATTCTAGGTGAACACTGAAAATTTCTTAACACAAATCGCTTTTAGGTAGCCGCCGACGTAGTCGGAGTGCAACAATAATCAGTTCAAATGTAATGCCAAATGACTTTACGGTCGATGTTTTAAAAGATGGGAAAATGTTCCTTTCACACACAGATGATTTTTCGGAAATATCGAAACCAAATCTAATGAAGATGGCACAAGCTGAAACTGAACGTGACTCTATTGTAAGGAAACGTGTCCGTATCAGGCGTGCAAGGTAAGTAGAACAATTTGGATTTTACAAAGCTCTTATTTTGCAATAATGGCAAATTGTGGCTTTCGCATATAGATTACACTATAAATACAAGAATAAATATGATTTTGGAACTTTAGAATACTCGTGTTTTGTTTTTTTTTCATATTAATTTGTAATGCATGTTTGAAGATCTGAAGCTGAAATAACAAAAACTGGTTGTTCTAACAGAGAAAAACTGAAGCCGTTATTCACCAGTATTGAAAATTTGTTTTACTATGCACATAAGGTACTAAATTTATCCGGAAAATAATGATAAGTCTTTAAAATGTTTATTAGAAGTTCGTTTATTCGAAATTTATTTTACTTTTAAAATTAGAATTCCTGATTTGACGGTTAGCTAGTGAAAGAATTTAGTTGTGATGGTCAGTATCAGACTAAATACTGAAAATAAGAAATAATCATTCCTTATATTGAATTCTGCTAAGCAATGTCAGGAAACTGAAAAAACGTTAACGAATATGACTGAAAATTACGTTATGGTATCTGAAATAAGCAAGGAAAAAGGTGGCAGCATTGGCAGTTTGAATGCTGATATTTCTGCTGAAAACAGCACAAAAGATTTTCAGCGAAGTCCTTCTCGAAGGCAACGATTTCAGGTAATGATTAATTATAAATTCTTTAAAAACACTGTAATCAATTCATGTTAGTTACTCGTGGAGTTTCAGGCTCGAGCAGCAGAAATGGCAGCAGCGGGAAAAGCTAGAATGTCTGACCTTTGGTACCGACATAGAGATGGTGGTTCTGGTGCTGAAGTTGCAGTTGATGCATTATCACAACATGATATTGGCCTGGTAAATTCCATCGCAATTGGATATATGAGTTTTGAAGACGAATATCCCTTTTTTTCTAATTTCAGTATAATGGAAGGTGGTTGTAGTTTTGACTGAGCACTGCGGGTTGTACAAGATATTTATTTCAAAATATTTAACCATATTGAAGACGCACTTCTTTTTGGTAGTGGACTAAAAGCGAACAGCAAGTTACTGCGCGGTTAATGTGCAGCAACAAAAGTATCGTGTACTCATGTGTTCTGGTCTCAATTAGTTATTTTTTGCTTGCAATTGGCGTCATCTCCGAATGTTCTGCAGTCCTTGACGATTCACATTGTTTATGAAAGATTATTTTTTAGACCCTTCCACGTACTTCACTTCCCACATCAAGCGTAGAGAGGAGAAAAAGAAGTCCTTTCTTTAAAACAAAAAGGTAAGTAGAATTGGATATTCCACTTTCGTGTAGCTTTAATAACTATTACAGATTTGCTTGAAGTTCAACCATCAGATTTTCAGGTCGGTTCCTACGCAAAATGATGCACGTGGTTGTGATTTGTCGAAAGTTCCTCCAAAACTACTGACCACAAAGTCATTGGCGACGGGCGAAGTTCGTTTTTAATTGAAAACTTTTTTCATTAAGATTGTATAGCTTTTCGATCTTCTGGAGGAGAAGAACTTTATACTATATATTTGATTTTCAATCTGTTGTTGAAGTTAGTTTACTTGCAGGTTAGGCTTTTTACTGTTTATCGGTATGTCATTTTTATATCTCAGTGAAGACCAATTATATAAGAAAATTAGCTTTGTTGA